AGAGATCTTGAACTTGGCTAATAACCGTTTTGGAATCCATCATTTTAAAATCCAGAAAACAACCGACAACAAATTTCTTTGTACCGGCGTCCTTTGTGTTATACTTATGATCTAGAGATTCCCATAGTTCTTTAGCTGTGCTTTTCACACTATATACATTGTACAGTGTATTGTCCAACACATTGAGGATATAGTTTCAACACAGAAAATCACTATGTTTCCATGCATCAACTGCGGCAACCACTTGCCGGTTAGATTCTCCCTCGTTCAGTGCCAATGCCTTTTCATAAGTGAACCGAGCCAAATTCAATGTGGTAAGATAAAACATCGTCTTTTGTTGGAATCTTTTAAAATCATCACCATTGAATTTTTCTAGCTTCTTTTCATGATTTACCGATACTTCCGAAGTCATTACTGGCACAATAGGTGTATGGGTTTGAGTAATAACAGTCTCAGTACTGTTAATTTCAATTGTCATAATTCTGACGAAATAAAAATAATACACCAATCACAAATTTATTCAAAAAACGAATTTGCATGCAAAATAAATAGAATAATATTTTGTAACAAAATTCCAATAATAAACAATATATTACTATTATGTCATCAAAGAAATCATTAAACAGTATATTACTACTATTTAAGAAATTAAACAGTATATTACTACTATTCAATTTCCTGAAACAAAATATTTGTCTATCTATTACAGAAATAAATAAAAATAATAAATCTACTTTAAGATTGTTAGAACCCCACAAAGGTGTATGTGTGTAAATTAAATGTATAAAATAAATAAACAATAAAATAAAATAATTCAGAAAATAATGATATAAATTATTTTCCGAATTAAATGCTTACAGAAAATAATGTCGAGGCTTGTGTTAGACACAATCTCCTTAAAGTAGATTTCGCCATCGCTCCGGTGCTTCGAGTTAAAATGGCGTCTACTTCCTAGGATGCAACGACTAACACTTGATTTTACAGCACTATAAAATCAAGTCTTGCGAACCAAAAAATGTTGTAACTCTTTCTCTTTATTTCCCTAAAAATAAACGCAGAAAGAATACAGAGAAACACAGAGAGGGATGACGAATTTATGACAGAAAAATCTAATCAAACGAATTGTTGGAAGCAACCTTTATATAGACAGATTGGTGGCTTTTCCGAACAGGTATAAAACCTGTTCGGACAAATTGGAAAGGCACCAACAGATTTGAATCTATTTGAACTGTTTAAACTCAGACAGATCTGTTCGGACTGTTTTGAACAGATACAGATCTGTCCGGTTTTGGAATGAACAGGTATGAACCTATTTGGGTGGAAAAAATCTGGACCAAATTTCTTTTGAATTTTGAAAAAAAAAATTAAAAAATAAATAAATTACAAAAGTTTTTGGCCCAAAAAGATAAGTATTGGGCCGGATAAGCCCAACCCAACCTCACACCACGCACCTACGCCCAAGCCAAGCCTGCCGATCGGCGTCGCGCGCATGTTGTTTTAATTTTGGGTCCAATGGGTCTAGCCCACTACACCCATAACCTAACCCTTCCACAAACTTGGGTATCCCTTGGGGCTCATCCCAGGTATCCAATGCTAAGGTTTATAAACCCAAACAATTCCTCAAGTCTTTCCAATGTGGGACAAGTATGTTTCACAAATGTGTAGGAAACCCACTAAAAACTAATTCCACGAACCAAAAAACGTGCGTTGAATTTTCATTCATCCGGAAATGGTTTTAAGCAACCAAATACAAGAATTTATTCACTACGCGGCATTAAACATGAGCCCACTTAGAAACGTTAAAAATAACGCTTGAATCCCACCTTAATTTGCTCAAAGTTAGCAAAAAAATAAGGTAATATAAAAGTCATTTTCCAACAATTTTAAGAAACTAAATAAGCAATTGTCACACGGTACTTCGAAATTGAAAACAACTTTCTCAATGCTCAGTAAAAGATTAACATATTTCAGCTGCAATGGCTACATATCTCAAATCCATTGGTTGAGAGAATATTAAAAGACATGAGTGAGAAGCAAGAAGATGGTATTGAGTAGTGTGTTTATCACAATAGGACCAGGCAAAACAAGCATAATTGATATTTTTAGGGGAAATGACAAATCAGCTCACGTGATTAAAGAAAAAAAAAATTAGAATCACATAGGGGTGAAACTCCTTCTGTGCAAAATAACACAGCAAAAGTTGCACCCCGAGAACATTCTCACCCTTTGGTTTATTTAACTAAAATTTTATTTGTATAATTATGAGGTGGTCCACTTGTTTGGCCCAGAATGAGCCATCTTCATGTATAAATACTTCATGTTAAAAATAAAAAATAAAACATATTTTGTTGCTTTGTTCTTCCCCTGTTTCCTGAAGGAAATCACTCCTTCCTTCTCTACTGGTAAGGTCTGATTCGTTGCCATTTTTGAGTTGTTTTTGTGTGTCGTCTATACTATAATACCCAAACAACAATCTCTAATATCAAGCGGCATAGTTGACACAGTCCAGTAGACATAGTTTTATAGTTAAATATCAAACAGCAAAAGAAATTAAAGTAAAAAGACATTAAAAAAAAAAAAGCCTTTGATTTATAGATTGATGGATTCAAAGTCCCCAGCTATTACAGAAGTGCCATTCCAGCCAACAATCACAATTGCAAGTATGAGACTAGGATGAAATTAAAAGATCAAAGAAAGACAAAAAGAGAAGATCCTTTTGAAGCCTTAATTCTTCACAAATGTATTATTCTCGAGTGTATCCTCCTCCTAGTTCTTCACCACCTTTTTATTCCTCTCAAGTGTCATCAATTTGGGTAGCAAACAATGAACCATTTGAAGCCTTCGTTTCCATTTCGGATTCTATAGAATTATTGTCTTTATGCTTGTACCATGAAGCCCAAAAGAGATAGTTTGCAAAGTTAAGGCAACTAAGGATAGCTAAGAACCAATAAAACAGATTCAGTTTACTATCGTTCAAGGTCAACCCTTCCAACCATCCTTTTCTGCTTGGAGTAGCACTCTTGGTGACGGCATTTATGATATTAACAAAAACAGTGCTTAAGAAGGTGCCAAAAGAGAGTGATAGCGGTGCAAAAGAAGTGGACAATGATTTCATTCCTGACGGAGCTTCCTTGTAGAAAAACTCCAGCAATCCAACCATAGTAAACATATCTGCGATTCCAAAAATACCATATTGGAACGAAAGCCAGAAGACACTAATGGGCTTCATCGGGTTTTTGAAAAACTGGTCCCTTCTCTTCACCTCAATAATGCCAGCTACACTCATTGAAATGACTGATAGAACAAGCCCAACTCCAACACGTTGAAGTTGAGTGATACCAGCTGGATGGCCAGTGATCTTTCGGGCAAATGGGACCACAACAAACTCATAGACAGGAATGAGGAGGGACATAAAAATTAGGGGAATTACGGGTATTGAGGCTGTAGGAAACTAAAAAGAACCTAAATATGGATACATGTAGTAGCCTTGGATTACTGAGAATGTCTGCAACTGGGACATGCATGTATTCATTATGATTGTACTTGCTAAGATGGACAACATTCTTGTTAGTATCTTCACTTCTTCAACTTGTGTCACAGTGCATACTCTCCATGGATTTGGATTCATGCTGTCTAGAAGGATGGCAGCTTTGTCCAGTGACCTAGTTTTTTAACAACAATAATCATTTAAGCAACGATGGTTGTTTTTAACATAACTTCACTATAAAGCTTAATTATATATAAAAAAATGGTGCATATATGGTTCATATGATAAGAGAAGACAGTCATTGGAAGTCTAAAAATCTTGATTGTAAACACGAGATTGGGAGTTTCAGTGCAATTTGTCGAATGAGTTTTCTTAAAAGCATCCCATTTTTAGAAACAGAAAAATTGTTTTCAAATGTTAATGTTTCTTAAATTTTCATTGATTTGTTTCCGAACTCTAATCCATATATAAGTTATTCTTTGCTTAATATGATCTTACTACCATGATGAGGAATGACCATCAAACTATGCCACCCAAATTAGCACCTATGAAAATGACTTAGTGGTGGGTTAACCAATTCTGTGACAAGTTCATTGTGTTACAAAGAACTATCCTTTTAGGGGAGATGTTACCTGAACTGAGCCTTATGTGAGACTTTTTCTTCTGCAAGGTCTCTTTCTTTATCATTAATTTCATATAGTTCTTCAGAATTTTCTGGTAGTGTCAACCTTCTATTCCTGATTGCAACCACAATAACCTACCACACAGGTATAAATAATGATTTGTTAGGAACATTACATTAGAAATGCTAAATGTAGAAAATTAAACATAGAGAAGGGCACATAAGAGTGTTTTTTGTGGCTCAAAAAGTGTATTGAGTAGATTTTCAACCAAACAATACACTTTCTATGTTTCAATTCTTGGTACCTATCATTTTTTAATGTTATAGACATACATGGAGAGAGAGAGAGAGAGAGAGAGAGACCTGTGCTACCCATGTAATAGGGCTTGTCCCTAGAGGTCGGATAATGTAGAAAGGCTTTCCAAGGGCAAGAGCAATAAAACCAAGAGAGGAAGTAATAGTACCAATTAGAAAACCCCAAGACCAATCTTTGTTCATGCTAACCCACACGACAACAGTTACTCCCACAATTGCTCCCAGGGTTGTACTTAGTACATACCAATTGAAATGTGTGTCAATTGGTCACCTCCAAGTGGTGTAAGGGACCCCCTAACTCCACCTGCTGCTAGAGCTAACAGATAGAGGGAGCCGTAAAACATAAGTGCTTCACCACCTGATACACAAGTTGCCTTGCCACAAGCATCAGGATGCAATTTTTTTGAGAAGGCTTGGATTGTGATCATTGTCACTGCCTGGAAGTGATACATGAATGAATTGAGCTAGGACAATGCAATGGTGATTAACAACAAATTCATGTAGTAGTTTGACCATTTGATGGTAAAACAATAATTTTGACGATTTTCTAAGGCTGTTAGATCAGGCCCAAAATACTCATTCTATTTGAAATGGCCCAACATGATCCCTTCTCTTCACCTCAATAATCCCAGCTACACTCATTGAAATGATTGATAGAACAAGCCCAACACCAACACGTTGAAGTTGAGTGATACCGGCTGGATGGCCAGTGATCTTTCGGGCAAATGGAACCACGAGAAACTCATATACAGGAATGAGGAGAGACATAAAAATTAGGGGAATTACGGGTATTGAGGCTGTAGGAAACTTAAAAGAACCTAAATATGGATACATGTAGAGGCCTTGGATTACTGAGAATGTCTGCAACTGGGACATGCATGTATTCATTATGATTGTACTTGCTAAGATGGGCAACATTCTTGTTAGTATCTTCACTTCTTCAACTTGTGTCACAGTGCATACTCTCCATGGATTTGGATTCATGCCGTCTAGAAGGATGGCAGCTTTGTCCAGCGACCTAGTTTTTTAACAACAATAATCATTTAAGTAACGATGGTTGTTTTTAACATAACTTCACTATAAAGCTTAATTATATATAAAAAAAAATGGTGCATATATGGTTCATATGACAAGAGAAGACAGTCATTGGAAGTCTAAAAATCTTGATTGTAAACACAAGATAGGGAGTTTCAGTGCAATTTGTCGAATGAGTTTTCTTAAAAGCATCCCATTTTTAGAAACAGAAAAATTGTTTTCAAACGTTAATGTTTCTTAAATTTTCATTGATTTGTTTCCGAACTCTAATCCATATATAAGTTATTCTTTGCTTAATATGATCTTACTACCATGATGAGGAATGACCATCAAACTATGCCACCCAAATTAGCACCTATGAAAATGACTTAGTGGTAGGTTAACCAATTCTGTGACAAGTTCATTGTGTTACAAAGAACTATCCTTTTAGGGGAGATGTTACCTGAACTGAGCGGTATGTGAGACTTTTTCTTCTGCAAGGTCTCTTTCTTTATCATTAATTTCATATAGTTCTTCAGAATTTTCTGGTAGTGTCAACCTTCTATTCCTGATTGCAACCACAATAACCTACCACACAGGTATAAATAATGATTTGTTAGGAACATTACATTAGAAATGCTAAATGTAGAAAATTAAAACATAGAAAAGGTCACATAAAAGTGTTTTTTGTGGCTCAAAAAGTGTATTGAGTAGATTTTCAACCAAACAATACACTTTCTATGTTTCAATTCTTGGTACCTATCATTTTTTAATGTTATAGACATACATGGAGAGAGAGAGAGAGAGAGAGAGAGAGAGAGAGAGAGAGAGAGATAACCTACCGCACAGGTATAAATAATAATTTGTTAGGAACATTACATTAGAAATGCTAAATGTAGAAAATTAAAACATAGAAAAGGGCACATAAAAAGTGTTTTTTGTGGCTCAAAAAGTGTATGTTTTAATTCCTGGTACCTACCATTTTTTAATGTTATATACATACATGGGGGGAGAGAGAGAGAGAGACCTGTGCTACCCTTGTAATAGGGCTTGTCCCTAGAGGTCGGATAATGTAGAAAGGCTTTCCAAGGGCAAGAGCAATAAAACCAAGAGAGGAAGTAATAGTACCAATTAGAAAACCCCAAGACCAACCTTTGTTCATGCTAACCCACACAACAACAGTTACTCCCACAATTGCTCCCAGGGTTGTACTTAGTACATACCAATTGAAGTAAGTTGCAAGACCCTTAGCTCCTTTTTTATCCTTTGGGTCGAATTGGTCACCTCCAAGTGGTGTAAGGGACCCCCTAACTCCACCTGCTGCTAGAGCTAACAGATAGAGGGAGCCGTAAAACATAAGTGCTTCACCACCTGATACACAAGTTGCCTTGCCACAAGCATCAGGATGCAATTTTTTTGAGAAGGCTTGGATTGTGATCATTGTCACTGCCTGGAAGTGATACATGAATGAATTGAGCTAGGACAATGCAATGGTGATTAACAACAAATTCATGTAGTAGTTTGACCATTTGATGGTAAAACAATAATTTTGACGATTTTCTAAGGCTGTTAGATCAGGCCCAAAATACTCATTCTATTTGAAATGGCCCAACAAATTTACTTTGATATGCACTGAATTTTGGGTAAATTTCATCATTTAGGCCACCAAATTAGAAAATTTACTATTTTTGAAAAGATTTGAATACTTAATTAGAAAAATATTTTTTGAATCACTATTTTTTTGCAATGTCTCTTTTTTTTATTCTAGATTCAAAATTTATACTTAACTCAAATATGCTATTTTGAATCTTTTCTGACTCTATGTAATTTTTGTATGCTTTGGAGTGTGAATTGTGGCTTAGTTACCAAACAACGTTAACTATAATTGGATTGTAAAGCAACTAAGCATTCATAAATTGAGTAACAAAATCCAGAGAAAGTTTTATTTTCTGTATTGCTCTTGTTCTCCTTGTGTATTTCATTCATTCTATATGCATCCCTGCATCATAGAACCAAACGGGGAGAAGAACACAGAGTGTTGATTATTAAAAGAAGCAAGAGTTTAATCATTAGAAGAGCTTGTGTCTAAGAATTAAAAGAAAAAAGTGGTCCAATACATGAGCTTGCATTTAGATTGAGAGTGAAATTTAACTTGCCAATATTTGAAGTAGTCCAAAGCTCAAACATGTGGTGAGCCTACTCAGGTAAGTGTCTGAGATGAAACCTCCAACGACAGAGAGTAGAAAAGTTGAACCCATATAGTTTGTGAAAGTATTTGCGGATTGAGACATCGAATCGCATCACGTTATTGAAGTAGAGAACAAAAACCGACATGTTTGCAATGGACCCAATACTATCCAAGGTCGACAATGCTTCAAAAAACATGAAGAAACAGAGTAATTATTTTTATGTATGTAATGTATTAATATGAATTAGATCACAAAGACAGCCTCCGCTTTGGTATATAGAGTTTAGTTTAGTCATCTTCAAACAATATTTCTTACCATAAACAAATATGCAAGCCTTGAATCCTCCTTTTTTCTGGCTCCGTGAGTTCAAGGACTCATAAGCTTGCTTGCCTTCCTATGTTCATCAATAGGAGAACAACAATTGACAAACGAATAAGTATAGGAATATAGAAACTGATCACATATCGAACATGATGAATACGAATGGATCCCATCAATGTTGCTTTTAAAATCTTGTCGATTCATGTGTGTTATGTGTTTGATTTTTGTGATCGTATTGCAGAAATGAATGAGAGAGGAACAAGTTTAAAAATATAAAAATCTATCACAAAATCAAACCAATCATAGACCGGACACAAGATGTATATAGACAAGCAAGATTTTTCAGAAGTGGACCGTACCAACATATTCTCTAAAAATCTTGTCCGTATATATTTTGTGCTAAATTTATGTGCTCCTAACAAAAATTTATTGGAGAGGAAAACGTGAGACTCAGAATTAGGGGTGTTTGGGAAGAAAAAATTTATCATCTTTTAGGTTAAAATTTACAAAAATATAAAATAAATTAAAATAGCTAATGAAATAAAATATCACATTAAATCCATAATTATTTTATTTTTCTCTCACAAACATCATATTCAACTACAAAAAAATTCAATCATCTTTTCATGCACAAAAATTTTTACTTACTAAAATAGCCAAAAATTAAAATAACCTATTAAAATAACAACTTTCCCAACACCCAGCTAGAATGGACCAAGACTTACCATATTCTACACCCGTAGATGGTGTAGAGAGGCGAAGTGCTTGAGAATTGGGTGATGTCTTGTGTACATAACCAATGATGAGAGGACCTATTTATATATAGTTTCCAATTCAAACTTCCGATCTCTCTCTCTCTCTCTCTGAAAGCCTGTGGAGATTTTATTCCACAATTTCTCTCTCTCTCTCTCTCTCTCTCTCTCTCTCTCTCTCTCTCCATACAGTTTTACCCATTTTCAGCCTATCCCACATTTTGTATTTTCTTCTGTGTCTCCTACTCCATTCACATCGGATTGTTGAAGGATCAAGAAAATTTAAAAATACCATATACAAAGTCTTCATCAGAATCCTAAGAAAAATCCCATAATCAAACTTTTAACAAGCTTTGTTTTCACTTGAAGATTAAGATCATTTAATTACAATTCTAGTTGAAGATTTGTACTGGCTCCTTTGGATTCGTCTTATTGAAAGCAGACAAATAAACGATTCCCACAGATTAAAAGAGCAGAGAAAAATAATAATGCTAACTGCACAGAAATATAACAGAAAAACTCCACAAAAATGTACTATGTGGTTAAAAAATATTTTTCATATAGTGTGGGTTACACTTAAAATTAATTATAGTTATGTTTTTTTTTTTTTTGTAAAAATTTTATTCATAATATGAAATTAAAAGTATAAGAAGATAAATGTATTAAGAGATTCAGAAAGCACAGTCTACCTCTACTACTCGTATCCACACAAACAATCTTCACGATTTTTTAAAAATAAATAATAATAAAAAAAAGTTAAGTTGATCTTAACTGCAAAGAATCTCAAAGTCAACAATTCCCCACACTTCTGGTCTCTCACGCTTTCTCTGCAACTGCCAAAGTACAACCCCACGTCTCCCAATTAGGAGTGTGAAAATGGCCACGGCCCGTGGACGGTCCGAAGCCCACCCGTGACCCCGATTAGGCCCAGGCCCAGGCCCAGGCCTTGTCTGAAACCCTGGGCCTGAGCCGTCATTTTGAAAGCTGGCTCGGCCCGACCCGTGACACGACCCATCAGCTCGCTCCCGACCCACCCAAAGCCCGGCCCGAGGCTCGGCCCGCTCGAGGTCCAGTGTCATTTTTAGTGGAAAATAATAAAATTTTGGTGGAAAAAATTTTAAAAAAAAAATTAAAAAAAATGTTCAAGTCCGCCCAAGCCCACCGGCTTAATGCCCGGCCCGCCCAAGGCCCGAACACCCCTGAGCCTAGGCCCCAAATTAACACCCCTACTCCCAATGCGCTACTCTATGTCTCCCATTAGCCATGTAATACACATTTTGTGTATTTTTCGCATTTTATTTCTGTTAGTTTGGCATTGTTGGGAGAAAAAAAATTAAAACCTAAGATAAACTAAGGCCTTGTTTGAGAAGACTAAATAAGTCCATACTTTTTATCTTTTTATCTTTTAATATCTCCTCTCTACTTTTTATACATCTTTTTTATAAAAAGTCAAAAAGTGCACTTATTTAGAACATTCCAAACAACCTCTTATATTTGGGATAATTTTTTGACTTTTTATGAAAAGAAGTGTGATAAAATATTGTTATAAAATCAAAATGACCATTTTACCTTTTGACTTTTTGACTTTTGGGTAGTTGAATTCAAAGGGCAAAATAATAATTTTGTCCTAGTGGCTTTCTCCACAGGCAACCCTTGAATAGTATAGACTTTTTAACTTTTTTAATAACTTTTTGACTTTTTAGTTTTTTTTTTTTTTTTTTTTATCCCAAACCAGGCTTAGCCTCGTTTGGGAACAAATTTTTCTAGTAACTTTTTTGGCTTTTTGGTTAAAATATGATATAAAAAACTAGTATGTTTGGAATAACTTTTTAGTTTTTTACGAAAACATGTAAAAAAAGTAGAGAGAAAAAAGAATATTTGACTTTTTGGTATAAGTTATTGGTTTTTTAATTTTTTTGTAACTTTTTGACTTTTAAATTAAAAAGGTTACTTCCCAAACGAGATTTTGATTTAATTTGATATGATTTTAAAGTTAATCGGAAATCAAACTGGTGTCAACAATTTTAGTTTGATCTTTATCATTTCTTTTTCATTCATTTCTTTGTCTAATCTTTTCTTTTATTTTTAATATTCTTTTGAGATTCTAATCATTTGTTATTTTCTGGTTGGTTACTAATGGTCTATTATTTATTTACGAAAAATGTTAGGAATCCATCCTTACAGATTCCAAATTTATCCTGAATATATTTGTGTGGTGAAAATTAAATTGATAAAGTGTGAGATTCATGTATGAAATGAATATGAACCATTGATTTTTTTTTTCTTAATAAATTCTAGTTTGATAAAGGTGAATTTATAGTATTGTTATTTATTTATATGTTACAATGATATAAAAGGAAAATAAAGACAGAACTAGGTGTAGACATGGTTGAGACACATCGAAGCATCCAAATTAATTATAATAAACCTTGTTGGTCTAGTACTACGTGTATGAAGGACTGGAAGAAAGAAAAAAAAACAAACAAACAAAACAAAACAAAACAAAATAAAAAATTGTGATATGTTCATGCCAAATTGTATGGTCAGTTTTAATTTTCTCAATGTATAATTTGGTCATAATTTTTAATAATAACTAAATCACATAACACGGTTCGATTGGTTTGGACCATTTTTAGATATATAATTTGATATATATATATAAGGTGGTGTTCATTACAAATTTATGAGAGATATTTTTATTTTTCCTTTCAAACTGTTATTCAAAAATTAATTCAATCAATATTATTATAATAATATCAATTTTCTACTTAAACTATTCGATTTTGAATCAGTATTACTCTCACCGTTAGCTACCATCTATAATCAAACTAAAATTGCTAATATGGTACCAAAATTTTATTTTACATCTCAAACCATCTCTAAAATATCAACTAACCCCTGAATATATAAAAAAAAAAATTAAATTTAAATACCTAATAATCATTTTTATCTAAAAACACGAGAAAAATGAATTTTAAATAATAAAATTTGGAAAAATATTAAAAATACACCTTATTTAAAATTTTCACTTTAAGTCTCAAATTATTTTGAGTCTGTCGTAGGGGGGGAGAGAGAGGGGAGAGAAAGAGGACTAACAATTTTGGGCTCAATTAGTTTTCATAAGGTGGACAAAATGTAGTATGAGACTTAAAGTTACAATTTTAAATTAGGTATATTTTAAAAATAAATTTTTTATAATCTTTATTATTTAAAATTATTTTTCTTACTTTTTTAGATGAAAATTATTATTAGATAGTTCAATTAATTTATATATATATATATATATATTCAAGGTTTGATATTTTGAGATAATTTTGAGAGTAAAACGAAATTTCAAATGAAATTTCGGTGCCACATTAGATGCTAAGAAAGTTTTGGTTTTTATAATCATGTCTGGACAATTTCCTGCTAACAATATATCAAATTGAATAATTTAAGTGTAAATTGCTATTATTAATAGAATTGGGATTGAATTAATTTTTGAGTGATAATTTGAGAGGCAAAGTAAAAGTTTCTCAATTTATGAACAAATTTTAGAGTTTCCAAATGCAAATAGAAAGTGTAAGTTAATTTGTTAAAAATTAATAGAAATTCATCCGAGTATAAAATCAAAGCAACAAATGTAAGATAACCTTAACAATGGCAATGGATCAAAGTCCCCGTGAGGGTGCTTGTCACACAGGAAAAATACAATCCGGAAGAGACAAAAAATAGAGAGAAAATTAAGTGAAGTATTGTATTGACCTTGGCCTGGTATTTATAGATAATATGGTGGTGTCTTGACAAAGAAGTCACACCCTTAGGAATCCAATCCAAGAGACATAATGCTTCAAAAAGCATTGTGCCTTTTCATTCAAATTTTCAAACTATTTTCCAAATTCTTCTTTCCTACGGGAAGGTTTAGAAATCACTCCATATAGGGGCTCTGATTTGGTGTGAGGAGATTTACCATATTATGGTGTGAACATATCTCATACCTTCATCTCCCACTTGAGCACACTATAATATTGGTGATAAAACCTGAGTTGGGCATGTTTACCTTGGTACCAAAAATTTTCATCATGCCAACTTTCATCTATGAAATTACCTCATAAATTGACGCCCGATAGTGACTTGGCCATACGTGCGCATGTTTTTGCCACCAATCTAACCGTATTCGCACAAATGTGTTCCCCTACTGTTAACACATTCCAAATGACTTTAATGCACTATATTTCAAGTGAATAACATCAATTTTCAGTGCTAGGTTCATAGTCCATACCCAATCACCATTGATGACATTAGCCACACACATTTCTCATGTGTTGACCTGCGCTGAAATTATTGTTAAGTACTTCTTTTAAGGCCCATTCCTGAAAGTTTTCCTTAACACACCTTATCGGCAACTTTTTACTGATCAAGCAGACAACACCATCTAGTCAGCATGTTGAATATCATGGACTTTACATCTCATGCTAACTATGATGTCCGTACCTTGTCAGTTCCTCTACCTTATTACTTGACCAAACACATATTTTTATGTAAGATAGAGTCGCACAACATCAGTTATCTAGGCGTCCCCAGAGTCATTTGACTAT